CTGAAAATAAAAATATAACTTTTGTAAGAGATTTAATTACTAATTTCTGTTCAATCATGTTTAAAATATATTGACATAACTATTCAAACGGAACTGAGCCGATCTCAATGCGGAATGAAGTAACTTCGCTTCGCGACTTTAAAATTTTAATTTTTCTGAGTTATAAAGCCTTGGTTCTTTGAAGCCTTGTTTCAGAACTGTGATAAACTATTTTGTAAATAAAGATTACTTTTTAAAATAGCCTGTGGATGAATTAAGGGACATTCTTATTCAATTTTAGCTGCTTTAATGTAGTTTTCATACAGGGTAAACACTTTTGAGCATTGTAAAAGTACCGGCAATTTTTAAGCATCATCCGTAAAATCCATCGTAAAATGTTATAGCGTAATGCTTACGTAATAACATTACGTAAAATGTCATAGCGTAATATTTATTTAATTAGTGTGATTCAGTGATTTTTCGGTAATTATTACTGTAAAAAATTACGGTATATCAGATTTTTTTGTTCCTTAACATGTCTCAATAAAAATGGATTTCAGCAGTAAAAAGTACCGGCACCATGAGTTCCAATACTTTTTACCTTTGGTGGTACTTTTTACTTTTACAGTGCGTGTGTCGAAGCCTTTCATCTAACTTCTAAGAAATCATTTACACTTCGAAAAATATTCAAAAATTAGTTATTCATATTTAACCATAAGGGTCAGTTTTTTCCAGAAGTATAAGATATTTAAAAACGTAACATGCGCGAAATAAGTGGTCAACTTATGTCATTCTTTTTGTTGTTATCATTTCATACATTATGTCATTCCTACTTTTCTTATATATTATGAATTAGTGATGCATGCCATTTATTATTTATTTCTTAAAATGTCAGTTCCCAGGAACATCTATGCATTTAGAAAACCTAACATTAATATTAATTTCAACAATAAAATTTATTTTGTTATGCTTTCAAGAAATCGTAAATGATTTTGGAACAATAATAGTTTTGTCAATCCATAATAGTTAATCAATAATAGACCTTAATAGTTTTGATCAATTCACAAAGGGATTTAATTTAGCTTTTTAAATTATTTTACCCGTTCGACGACATTCTGATACATTAAATTTCCTTAAAATATATACAATATTTTTTTTCGGGTCATCTTATGAATAGAATTTAATTACACACCTAAAAATTTTTATTTATTTCAGTGGTCAACAAACAAGATATACACAAGGTTAGATTACAAATGTTTTGTACCTTTTCGTTATACGGGATACATTCCTTTTTTCACAATAGAGGTCAACTTAGATAGGTAGCCAACTTGATAGGTTTTATTTTATGTTGAAGGGTGAAAAATCATGTGATAAATTACAATGACTTCAATAGTAAAACTTTAATTTACTTCAATAGTAAAATTAAACCATTTATTGCAAAATCGTAAATTAAGCAAAAGAATAATTATCGACATAATTTTTCAACATTTAATGCTGGAAATTACACTGAACGTTAAGGTAAGCGCGTTCGTGCCAAGAAAATCCCAAAAGAAATTGAAAGTGATATTAGAAGGAACTACACATTCTGAATCTGAAAGCCCACTTACTAACCATCTAAAATCAACAAACGCACAGGTCGAACGAAAGCCCCAACGCGCGCGCTCAAACTATAAGCGTAATAGTTTATGCAGTCAAAGAATAGGACAAGTAATTTGATCATAAATAAAACAGGATTTTCTCTTTTAAATTGTAACTTCTACTTGGGGTCCAACAGTATATTTAATCAGCATACGATAAAGTTATAAACATTTGGAAAAAATTTCGTGTTTCTTAAGTATTATTTTAAACAATCTTTAAACAGTTAAATATTCTTTTTCTTTACTGTTGAAAATTTTGAACCATAATATTAATTATACGGTGCTATTTAAATTATTACTATACAATTGAAACCATAATATTGTTCTTACGATACTGTGGATTGTACGATACTATTGATAGAAAACTAAGGGACAAAAATCTAGGTTGTAGAATATTTGCGTCATATTACGGTTCAAGCTACCGATAATATGTTTCAACGTTAGATCAAAACGTTTTTTTCTCCTCATTTATGAGTCTTCAAAAGCACTTTTCTGAATTGATTGACGTATGAAAATCAAGTGGAAAAACAGTTTATGTCCATATTTTTTAATAAAAAATGACGATTAGATAGCCATTTGTTGCATGGTGAGGATTACTAAGGTTTGACAAATCAAAAACGTGTAAAAAATCAGTTGTCTCCGAGAGTTGTCATACAGTGAAGGTGGGTTGTGAGGTTTCTGTCTTAGACAAGGAGAACAAAGAAAAGTAAAGCGAAGAAGTATTGATTAGGGTGGGAAAACGGTCCTTGTTCAACTCTATTTTCATTTTTTTTTTCAACTTGTAAACTTTGTAAAATTGTAAACTTTGTTTTGAAATTTTTAGGGAATGATTTCAATCGAATGCTTGCTCCTGAAAATTCTCAAACCTTTAAATTCGTTTTTTCAGACTCAGCCTTCATGGACAAAAACCGTTGTCCCCTCTTGATCTACAGATGTTCTTTTATGACCCAATTGTTGCTTGTTAATAATACAAACTACCGATATTTTCTATGACATTTTCGTGGAATATTATCTTTTATTCTTCCGGTTTAATTTTTTTTAAGCCTGGGTATTATTAAATTACAAATTTTCTGACATGAATGTTTGCCGAAAGTCAATTTATGTGTTAATTAATATAGTGAATTGGAAAAAAATTTTATGTATCTGTAATACATTGCCAAAATAAAAATTATTGTCTAACATTTCTAAAATTATCTTTGCAACATCTTTATTATTTTATTTATTCCATGAAAAGAAATCGAAATTATTATTCTAATTTCCATTAAACTGTCATTCTTTTAAAGGTGCTAATATAAAATGAAATATTGATTCAAATTTTTATTTCTCAATAACTGAAATTACAAGAACATAATTTTCAGAATCTTTTTACTTATACTATATACATGTAAAAAACTTTAAAAAAAAGAAAGAAAAAAAAAGAAGAATGAAAAGAAAAAGATAAAAAACGTGTTATACTTACTTACAGTTTTAAAATTATGTTGTAATGTAGTCATGATAAACTTACTTAGGAGGGGAGGGGGAATTCCTTTTTTTTTTTTTAAACAATAAATTCCTTTTTTTTTTTAAACAAAATGTTACATCATAATTAAAATTATTCTTTCAAAAGATTTAAAACTTTATAGTATTTTCATCGAATTGGTTCTACAAATTAAGTTTGCAATTCCAAAACGATAAAATTTAAATCTAACCATTTTCGCTCGGTTATCCTAACAACTTTATCCACAAGCCTGATTTTATTTTATTTTTTAATTCTTATTCAATTTTTGATTACCGGAAAGACTTTTCTTTTATTGTTATATTTACTATTTTTAAGTGTTTTTTTAAAAATTATTTGGCAATAGCGTGAAGAGTTAATTCTTAATATTGCTTTAGAATTTTAACTAGTTATTTTTTTTATATTCATAATTTTAATTGAATTTTTTGACTGAACACAGTTATACATAAAATCTATTTTAAATGAAAATATAACTTATTAAAAAGGCATTCTAATTTATAACCGTTTAATAAATGTAAAACTGAATAAAAGATTTTTTTCAAACGTTGCATAATTATGTGATTATTTTATAACATAATTATGTGATCACTTTATAACATAATTAAGTAATATCACTTTCACTTTTAAACTTTTACTGTATTAAATATGTATACAATCAAAATCAATGAGAATAAGAATACAGTTAAACATAATTTAATTCAATTATTTGCTATTAAATTCCGTTATAATTTTCATTAAATTTAAGTTCCTGAAAACAAAAGATTTACTTTGTTAATTCCTTTGTGTGTTGTTTTCTTAAGCCTATTGCACTATTAAAACTGACAACAATGAGAAACGGTTTTAGGCCATTATCTTTTTACGTTGGACAGAGACATAACGTTTATATCTATATAACGAATATGTCCATGCAATGGTTATGTCTATGTAACGGATATGTCTATGCAATGTACCTAAATTGCAGTTATTAATCGCAACAGGTATTAAGTAACGATGTAAATATGACCCGCATATTATCAAGTTCGAAACTATTTTCGACAATATTAACACAACTTTATTTTATTATACAACTTTATTTTATTATACAACTTTATTAATAATATATAAGAATATCACATAAATTTGCATGAAAATATATATGCCATTATTATTATTACATACATTAGTTTTGCAAATTATTTCTAAATCATTTCATATTTCGAATTTGTTGTACAACAATTTAAAAAATATAACAAAAACTACTTGAATGTTACTTTAGCACGAAGAATAACATTTAAAAATGTAGCATTAAATTGCATAATATATTTTGATACATAATTTCATATCATTAAAATTTATTTGCCATCATTATTATTGCAAAATATCAATTTTATAACAGCAAACAAAAAGACCTTTTTGAAACTAGTTTTGTAATGCATAATATTTATAAATTGGTATAAGTATTTTCTTAACAATTATATAAATATTTTTAGCTTTATATAAATTTAGAAAAGTAATAAAAAATGAGATATTTCATAAATCTTGTTGGAAATTTTATCAAATTCCGAATATAAAAATTGCCATATAAATAAAATTCTAAATACAACAAAAAATATTATTATTTTCTAAAAGTTATGAAATATTGCATTTAATATTGTACAAACAGTGTTTGATCAAATATATATATGTAAATATAAAACAACAATTATTTAAAATAAATAATATGCGTATCGACGAATAGCCTATTGTAATCAAAATACGTGAAAATATATATTTTTGTTCATGAGTGCATAAACAAAAACTAAATAAATCTATAGACATAATAATGAAAGAAAAAAAATATAAACAATTATACCACCATCCATGTTTCACGGCTAAGGCAGTAACATCTTCTAATTCCTTCCCGCAGGTGATCATTAGTGATTGGTTGAGAGATGGCGGGACGTAGTGCGCGTGCGCCATCCCACCGTGGCGGTGGCTGTCGGGAGACTTGCACAGCGGGCATTCGAAGTCACAAGCTCATCCGCTCTTCAAATAACATGGGAGCGCAGAGTATGGAATACTACTATCACTATTTCATAGTGGCTACCGTCTCTGGGTTGTCTCTGGTACTCTATTGGAACACCCTGGGTGCGGACTTCGCCTACGATGACAGGTAAGCAACACATTTTTTTAAAGGGTTCTTCTGTTTGTTTTGATGCTCGACATCGGCTCTGTTGTGGGCCGGTGCCAAAATTTCGCATGGCTCCCGGTTTTGTTGACGACGATCAATGGGGACAGGGTAGTCCAGAAATAGGCTTAGATGTAGACAGGTGTAGTTTGAATTATTTTAAAGAACCTGCTTCGTTTTGACAGGTTGAAGGATATTTTCACTTCCAGTGTAAATAGACTGACAGCAGCTGGCTTTAAGCTTACATTGATTTATGAGGTCTGATTTATCATGTGGAGAACAACTCCTTTCTAATGTTTACAAAAATTTTATTAAAAGATTTTCATGACAAGTTAAAATAAAAATAAAAAACTTTTTTTTTAATTTAATGCAAGCAATCCTTTTGTATGCAATAATTAATATTTTTAAGCACGTTAATTCATTGAGATATTATTTGGACATAAATTCCATAAACTGGGATATAAACTATTCTATACACTGAGTGACATATGTTTTATGATTAAATAGATTTATTTTTGAAAAGTGAGTGACGGAGAACTCCTAGTGATTATAGAAATATGAGCTACAAATTCTCATACAAAAATTAATACTCAACCTGTATTTTTTTCTATAATCATTGCAAGCAATCCTAATGTACCAACACTTTAATAGATCTATTCATTAGCATTATTATTTATTAACTTTAATCGATCTATTTATCAAAGTTTTTATAGAAGTTAAATTTATCTAAAAATATGTAAAACTTGAATTTATAAATTTGTAATAATGCCATATAAACAATACGTTAGGTTTAATGATAATATTGATGCCTAAACTGAGATTAATGATAACTTTGAAATAGAAACAATATGATTTATGGTTGTGTTGATTAATCGTTGCAAAGTGAGACATTAACTAATGATTATAAGAAGGAAAAAAATTCCAAAAGTAAACACACAGTGTATTTTTTCCTACAATTATTGTAAGCAATTAATTTTCGTCAACAATAAATATTTATATACCTGTAGTATTTATAAAAATTAATGTTATTGATAAAATATGTAAAGCTTAGTGTAAATATTAGAAACAGTTACACCATTGCTGAAACAATATGATTTATGAGGTCTGATTTATCACTGCTAAGAGGATTATAGGCAATATTTCCGATGTTTATAAAAAAAATTATGGCAGGTTTTATAAGAATTTTTATGTGCAATCCATTTTCTTATTTTTACAATAATTTTAATCTGCACCACAATTAATACTCATAAACAGTTTAATATTCTTTGATAAAAATCTGTAAACAAATAATTAATATTCTAAATTTGGATTCATAAATAATGACTAATATGTTGAAAAAAGATCTAATTTGTCATCGTGATCAGAGTTGAAGGTATTAAATTTTATAAAAATAATTTAAGCGACATAAGTTTGTAAAAAATTGAAATTCTATTCCCTTTTTAATAATTGTATACACCATAAACATATTTACAAAATATTTGCAATGTGAAACGTAATTTATGTTTTTGATAAAAATTATTGTAATGTTTTTTTATTGATCATAATAATTTGGAGGTTTTAAAATTATTTTTTTGAAAGTTATTTTACGCTCTATGTTTTTAGTATTAAAATGTTGGCTGCAAATATTTTGATTTTTTGAAAAGGCAAATTTTATTTTAAAAAAAAAATCGCTAAAAAATGCTCAAATGTAAAATTATTATCCAGTAGGATTTTCAATAAATTAAAAGTATGATTAAAAGTGTTCCATGTCACAAATAACGAATCTAAAAAAAGTGTTTTTTAAATTGTTTAATAATGTTTGTTACGAAATTTTTTAAAGGGGCGTTAAAAATATTTTTTCTTGCAATGTAGGCGGAGAATCAAATAAGGTTTAAAATATTGAACAACATTTACTTCACTTTTATAGTACAGTTTTGATTTTCTTTTTCTTTCATTTTGCATGCCTTTATAAGGTGATTGCATATGTAAGAATACAATAAAATTTATCTCCGTTTGAGTTTTTAATTGCAATGATTATTTTTAATTGCAATGATTACAAATTCAATTCGAGTAATCGCTTGGACAGTTTCAAGATAAATAAATATCTTACTGTTTTAGTCTAGGGGCTTTTTTATGGCCAGAATATGAAGAGATGCACTAGACGGAGAAAAAAATTCTGATAAAATTTACGTACTGTATAGTAATGGCATTTTTGACATAAAATGACTATAATAAAATAATAATAATATTAATAATAATAATTTTGGTTAATAAAACCAAAATATGCCGTATTTAAACCATTCATTTGCTAACTTTTCTATTCATATGGTAACGGTTTACCGCAAATTCTTGTATTCAAAATTTTAATTCTTATTACCACACATTTAGTAAAATATACAAAATTAAAAAGTAATTTGTACCGAATAAGTGTTTTTTGTATCATGCTAAGGTATCACATATTATAAAGCCGTATTTTATGGCAAATTTTTCCAAAATCCAAAACACTTCGGTAAGAAAGCGCTTCTGTTTGATATTTCCATATGGTTCACTTTACCATATTCTGGTTTTTCTGTGTATAGAATTATCTTATTGCTAAATGTGTAAAACAAAATGCTAAACTTACATTTTATCAGTTTTGTGTAATTATTAAAATTATCTTAAATGTTAATTGACACCTATTTAAATTTATTAAGTTTTCTTTCTTTTTTCTTTTTTTTTAAAAAAAGAAGAAATATTTTTTTAATTTATTAGTCTACTTTTTAAGATACGCATTTTCAAGTAAATATCTCTTTTTCTGCCATTGTTTAAATATCGAGTCTGAGAAGGATAGTACACAGCTTTACATTAAAGAAAAAATGTGTGGTAAAAGCTACCAGAATATGGTAATATTTACCGTGTTTTTGGATCTGTGGGAACACCAAAAAGCTCGGTACTTTTGACCGAAGCGCTTTAGTAATGAATAATAAATATATAAATATAATATACGTAATAAATAAATATAATACGAAATATGGTTTAATAATGTGTGATACAGTTTTGAAAATATGGTGAGATGTGGTGAAAATCTATCTCGATATGGCATAAGAACCATTTATTCGGTTATATTTGCAATTACCGGTTAAATTACTAAATGCTTGGTAATAAAAGCTATAATTTTGAAAACAAGGATATCTGGTAGACCGAAAAAATAAACGAAAAAATTACCAAATGAATGGTTCAAATACCGTATATTTCGTGTTTTAAAACCAGATTTTTTTTTCTTTGTAATTTGTAGTGTCACTGTCCTTAAGTTTAGTACTTTTATCAGAATTTTTTTCTCCGTGCACCAAATGCGATTTTAATTCAACAAAAACTCTTTTTGAAAAAGCTTTTCTGAACATTTTCAAAATGTGATTTATTATTCGGATATCAAGCTCTTCATGTATACTTTTTATTGTACGGCTTTGCTACAAAGAAGTTTTAAAAATTGTGAGTGTTCCTCCTGATTCTAAGTAGCCAATCCACTAATAAAATAAAGAGTCACATTAGTTTCATATTCAAAACTTTCATTTATTTTTTTATTCCTCGTTTCTTTCTCACTTTTGTTTTTCTTATAATATGCGTCTTTACATTTGTTTTTTTGGTCCCTTAAAAAACTTAAAAAGCTGACTCTTTTGGGAAAATGAGAACCTAATGTGTTTTTAATGACTCATCCTTCGCTATGCAGCGAAAGAAACTTTAATAAATAAAAATTCCTGCAATCGTATTGGATCTGTTTTTAATTAGTAGTTGAACAGGGGAGATTAGACAAATACGGAGAAAAAAAATGAGGTAATTCATACCTATAACCAGTAGAAAAGTAATGCAATAACTTTAGGCTTTTCTTACAGCAAAATAATTATTAAATACCTATTGTAGTACGTCCTTTTTTATGAAGCAATTATGCCATTACTAACAAAAAATAATTTGGATGAGTAGTTGTAACATAAATTATGCAGTTAATGTTTGAATTTTGTCCGTTATTTTCTTACTGTGTGGTCCTAGCATTTAGTTGTAAACAGAATGTGAAGTCAAAATTTAAAATTCTCTAAAAAAAAAAAAGACATTCATTATATCAAATAATTACAGTTACATAATAACATAATACTACGATGATTTTCATTTTTTCGTCCAACATTGCAATTGTAAAGTTTGAAAGTTATTTATCCTCCTGTTCATAACTATTCCATTAAATTTTGTGAGAAAGTTTTAGATTAAGATTTAAGTACTATCTTATACATTATATAGGTTTAGTATAATTTGTCATTAAACTTTATTTTGTTTGTTTAATTTAATTCCTGAGTTTTTAAGATTCGTTACAATATAACTGATATGATTAAAAGGTAATATTTAAAATAGTTTCTCATAAAAATTCTTTTAAATTAAATAAAAACGAGATTTTGTTTCTGAATAGTTTCTTCTTCCTCTTTTTTATTAAATATAAAAAATATCGATTTTTAATGTGGACAGTTAAGCGTTCTACAATTTCTTCTTTTATTTTATACTTTTATGTTTCCGAATGACTTAATTGGAGAAATCAATACTATAACTTATATAATTATAACTTCTTTAACTATAATAATTAGAATAAATGTTAAACAAAATTCTTTAATTTACATATTTACTAAATTCTTTGGTCTCACTATTTTCTACTTTTTAGTTAATACTACGAAAAGTAAAATATACATTTATAGTATACTTTAACTTTAATATATATAAAGTACAATATACTTTGCATACTGCGAACTTTTACGGACTTAAATTACTGTAAATCTTAAAACTTATAAACTAAAACACAAAGTTTATTAGCTCTTTAAATCGTATCTGACATTCGTAAGATAAACTGTTAACTAATTATTAAGGCGTGAATCGACTTTGAATTTTGAATTCAAACTGCTGATGGATTGTGGAAAGCTCTTTGCCTATTTTCATGTAAACACATCCGCAACCTTCAAACAATATGCATTTTATATCTTGAGAGAAATTAA